TCTTGGCCAAATGTTGACATTTCACCCTCCTTCTGGGGCTGCCTCTCGAGGGAGCAGAGAAATATCTCTTGTCCAGCATCCCAAGCTGTAACGATTACTGCTATCAACTCTGCAGAATGCACTGTCCTCACAACAGAGCAGTCTTGCTCCTAACAAAACATTTTTTGTGAAGTGCACAAAACTAAAAGTGATACTACAGCATTCATTCATATTAATGTTTTGTGGTTTTGGTCTACAGTGAGCGCAGTTATTTTGCTTGCCATAAGCATGTTTCAGATTAAGTATTTTAAAAGTCAAGCTGAACATTACTTGTTCTCCTGTTTAAGGTTTTCTGTTCACAACTAATTGTACAGCAAGCAAGAGTACTCAGCCAGAAAAAAAAGGGTAAAGTAAAATCCATTTTTAAAAATTCAATTTCTGATTTGCCATCATGGTATAAAACCACTAGATGCAGTGCTAATTATAGATATGCTTCTAGGTATATTTGCCATCCCTTGTCATTGCCCTAAAATATAGGGAGATGTTCCCAATGATCAATTAAATGTATGTACTCTGTAGTGTATTCTCCTGTGTGTCTTACCTGCTTAGCGAAAATATCCAGGGAAAAAACTATGCACGTGAGCCCTTAAGCATCATACTCAGCTGTAGGACTAAGTGTTTTAGCTGATGGCAAAGGAAAAAGCAGTTCTCAAGCAGTCAAGGCCTTCTGATGCCATTTGCTGGCTCCTGGGAAAAATAGAGAGTGGGCTGTAGGAAAGCTAGCCTGTCCTGGCTGTCTTTCTCAAAAGTCTCCTGCAGTTTGATGTTTTTCTTCAGGCTTTAGGCTTCTAGTCTGCTTGAATTAAATGAAAATCTTAGCTTTTAATGAAAAGTGTCCATGGTTGTAGAAAACAAATGAAAATGCAAAACCTTGAAATCCATAAACCAACAGTGAACTAATGAATGAACAGGTGTTTTCAGGGAAGGAAAGGTAGGGGGCATCACATTGTTTTAAATATGGTGTGGGGTTTTTTTTAATACTATCTCTTTCATAGAAAGGAGTTTTATCCCATCTGACATTCCCAAGGAAAGGATGAGGCAGCTGACCAGGACTATCCTTTATAGTGAGAAAGGATCTCTGATCTCTCTCATTTTTGGTGTAGTTCGTGGTGCTGCTTAGTTGGAAATGAAGGTTCAATATAGAATGTTCCTCTACAGAAGTTATTTTGGTTTATTATTGTAATTTCATGAAGAACACAGGTGAGGGAAGAAATATGGTGATTCTTAATATTTCACATGTCCACTGAAGGATTTTCTCAAAGCAAAAGAAGTATCATTTTCTATCTTTCTATCTCCCACAAAATAATAATAAAAAAATAATGTTATTAATAGCTGGAGGCAACAGAGCTTTACAGACAAAAAAAGCTTTATTTTGACAGATGAATTTTCTCACTCCTTTTCCTGTTTTCTCCCCTGTCCCACTGGTGGGGAGGGAGGGAGTCACCAGCTGCGTGGGTGCTTGCCTGCTAGCAAGGGCAAATGCACCACAGCATCTGACCCAGTCAGGGATGTAAGACAACTATAAACATAAACCATCAGATAGACTAAGCAGCCGATATTTGGTGAGTCTAGAAAAATGTAAGTACTGAGTTAAAATCCTTAGGGAGGATTTGGGAAAGGTTGAGATTTGGTGAGGGTTTGCATGTTTCAGGAGGCTGAATACATTGGCATTCCAATACTTACGAAGCACAAACCCATTACCGTCTATTTAGCATCTACAGTGCTAAATAAAATAGGGCCAAAGACTGAGCCTTTGCCCTAAATTCAGCTGGCACAGACATGCTCATATGTACGCTGCCTAAGACTGACCTCCACTAGGCTAGGAGGAGCCTAAGTGGCTAGGAGGAGCCTAAGTGGCTAGGAGGACCCAGGTGGAGGCAATATGCATGTCCTTACTACAGAGCACTGAAGCACCAAGTGTCCTGAGAGCCCCAGGTGGTACTGGTGTGACCCTAAAGCTTAATTATTTTTGTGGGGAATATTTCAGGTCAATTGTGTCTGAAACAATATGAGGGATGTGTTGCAGCCCATCAAAAGTTGTGGTGTAGTAGCATGAAACTGAAGGGCTGATGAGTGATGTTCTGAGAAGTATGACACAGGGATACATTGCATATGTTTGGTATGCGGAGATTGCTGGAACACTGTTGGAGGGCTCTTTAGGGTGGAGGAGACTAAGCCTGGTGCAGTCATATCCATACTTAGTTTCTGGAGGTCGTGGCTGGCATGAACCATCCTCAGAGCCAGGCCTGGATGTTGTCCTGGAGAGAGTTAGTTTGGATTGTCCAAAGTAGAGCTAATAAACAAACTATTATTTAAGTGATGTAAGTGATTGAGCTTCTAGTGCTTGGGTTAATTTTAAATCCCTCTTTTTTGAGCAATATAGATGTAAACTACTTAGATTCTGCAGTTACTGTTTGCAGCCAAAACTTTCTAAATTTCAACAGGAAACAGATATTAGATCTGAATTTTGCATAACAATGTGGGATTGATGATACAGTAGCCATGGCCACATTAACTATAATCCATTTTTTTAATTAAATTTGGGTTATTAAGACATCAATCTGCATGGGTTAAGAAGAATCCAGATGTCAAAGCTGTATTTTTATCAAATAGAGTGACTGTAGGCAAAGCAGTTATCCCACAAATCCTTACAGTCCTCAGACATGACTTTGCTATCATTTTGTGCTGCCTGTAGTCTCCACACCTCATGTATTTACCCTGCAGTCCTACGTAAGGGACTAAGCTTGATGTTTACTTTCATCTGCCAGCACCTTGTACATTATGTGTGTGTATATATATATATTTGTGAAGAGAATGGGTAACCTGGGTTAAGAGATCTTTACCAGGGCCTGCCTTTAGCTGTGCCTGGCAGCGTACATGAACCAGGACAGCAAGCCTCAAGCCTTCTGGCCTACCTAAACACCTTCTTGGACAACTTAGGGCATGACTCAGATTGTCAAGTGCCGTGCATTTGATGTCTGGTAAGAGCCCAATCACTCTTCAGGACAAAATGTCTGTGTTCTCCACAGAGACCAGATGTAAAGAATAAGCCCACACAACTGCTTCAAGGCTGTGAGGACCTTCGCTCTTTTAGCAGTTTCTGAAGACATGTGGCAGAGGAGACACTCTCCCAGACCAAACCAGAACACTCTTAAACAAGAAACCTGCCTGTGTTGGCTGTTGGCAATATCAAGGGTTGCCTTGGAGCTATGATCCAGCAATGTCTTACAGACTAGTGGTATTGCTTTGCCCACAACATATGGCTTTAAACAACACAGGGCAAAGAGGGATGTTACAGTCTATGTCTATTTTCTGCTCTGGCCTCCTGGGCAGTTTCCAAACCAAGGCAGGGACTGTGTGATCAAGCACTCTGATTAATGGCCCAGGCAGCTAAAAGGCATCCATCCCCCTCCAACTAAGCCAGCTCCTTAAAAAATGTCCTAGAG